CTCTTTCCTTCAGAGGGTGGGGAAAATGTGCTCCCATTTGCCAGACATCAGCTCTAGCAATGACCTGCATGGATTACAGCAGGCCCAATGAATAGGTGGTAAAGTGACAGTGTGAACACCTTGCACACTGTTTAATGTCAGCCTTAAGTACTACAATACCGCTGCTGGGACTGTCCCCAAAGGACATGTCTGCTGACAAATGTAGGAACTGAGGCATAATAAACTCCCATCTTCTTGCACTGGGGAAATGAGACTTTGATAAGTTTGCCTGGGATTTTGACCTCAAACAGTGAGCCTACTTTTAGTTTTACAATTATCACACATTGATTTGGCATGTCCCGCAGAAAAATTAAAACCACTAGAAACTGTGAACACAAAAATCCCCTTAGGGCAGGAATAGCACTAAATTGCCACCTGCATGCCCAGATGTCCACAAGACAAGTTATTTTTACTAGGTGGCCGGCCTGGGGTCTGTAGAGAAAAGATGCAGCGGATGTGGTGCAAAAGAGCAGGGAGCGCAGCAAAGGATGGAGACCTGGGTCCCAGTCTCAAAAAATACCAGTGCATTGGACATCTACGGGATGCCCGACCACAGCTGGTTGGTTTGGGCTGGCAAGAAACTTGGTCCTTAGACTTATAGATCCAAAGTCAGGCATGCTGTTGGCCACCTCCCGTGCCTGAGAAGTTAGGAGTTAAACTGGATGAGCTGACTCCAGCTCATAACCCTCCTTTTAACTGTAGGTACAGACTGATTGGGGAGGCTCAGAGGCGCTGTGAGATTTCCGACATGGATGTTGCGTGGAGTGGCACAGAACCCATTTGTGAGCGTAAGTAGGTCACGACTAGTGAGGCTTTTTTTGGACAAACTGCTTTTCTCTGGTAATGCCAGAGAAACTGCACCAGCACTGCAGCTTAGACAGTCAGGCTTCCAAGGCCAGGATGCAGTTTCCCTGGTTGTGCTCGTTCTGCTCCAGGAGCAGGTTGACGTGGTTGTGGAAAGCAAAACATTTTGAAATGCCAGTGTTTCATGGAGTTGGGAAAACTGTTTCCACCCAGTTCTGGTCACTCCTTGGGTGTGAGCCTGAGGCCTTGCCTTTGGCAGGGGGTTCCTACTCCAGCTGTGCCAGCAACTCCTGTTGGTGCGGATGCCGCTTGCAAAAACCTACATCTCTCTGCTGGTGTGGCTCATGCTGGGTCCCCTGGAAGTGATCCAGTCTCTGCTGCTCACAAGTGCAGCATCTTTTCAGCAGGGTGGGAGAGGTGGGCTTGTAGGAGGAACTGTATTCAGTTCCTTGGGCTCTGGAAGACAAACACAACACAACCCACTGGACACAGCAGGCAGCCAGGGTGGGGCTGAGGGGCCAGAGTTTGATTGGGAACCACCCTTTGCCACGCAGGCTGCCCCTTGTGCCCCAGCCCATGTTTCACGCAGTTTCATTTGCAGCGGTCATGTGCACAACCCCAGAGATCCCGAATGGAAGGGAAGTGGATGGACGTGGTGCTAGGTATACAGCTGGGCACAGCGTGAGTTTTGAATGCAATGCTGACTATATCCTGAACGGCAGCCATGAGATCCAGTGCCAGCAGGATGGCAACTGGGATCCCCCTATCCCAGTCTGCAGTCGGGGTAAGCTCGGATCACAGTCAGTGGCTGGTTGGGGTGATGGGTAAAGCGCAGCAGGCACGTGCGTGGTGGAGAAAATAGAAATTAGCCTGGCTGGAGTCCCAGAATGAGTGACTGATCTGGTATGAGGAAAATGAACAAACCTGTCAGGAAGTCCTTGTCTGTCATTATATGCACTGGTTGGAGGTGCGCCCCTCCCTATGTGCAGCCCCTTGGAAACACAAAGCAGTAGTAAGGGGTGTTTTTCTGCAGGGCCCCCAAGTGCTGGGAGCTTTCTGTTATAAATAAGGCAAAAGGAGAAAGGTATTCTGATACAGAACATATATTTGAAGTTTTCATGGGAGTCAGGGACAGAAAAGCAGCATAATAGAGACATTCTCCCGGGCTGGAGGAGAAATTAAGTGACTGAGTATTACCTCTGCTTTCTCTGTGCTGAGTAGCTAGTATGAAAATTGGTGTGACATACATTTGCAGACTCAGTGTTTTGCCATGGCTTTTTGGCCCTATTTATACAGTTTTAGGTAAGTTTTTAAAGTTGTATTTTTTTTTCCAACTGATGGAAAGTCAGCACTGTAGTTGCATCCATGATATCAATTCCTATAGCCAAGTGAGATCCTTTAACCAGGCTGCCTTGGGCGCCAGGAGCAGCGTAGCCACAGCCTGGCCAGATTCAGCTGCTGAGATCCTTATTAGGGTGTTTGAGAATGGGCTAGCAAAGGGCAAGCCAAAGCTGAGATTGTCAGGTAGGTTAAGCATAAGTCTTGCTTCACAGCCCACAGTTGCTCCTGTAAATGCAGCGCAGTCATAGCCTGTGTATTTGTATGAATTTCACGGATCCATTCT